TGCGCGGAGCGGAGCGGGGAGAGGGGGACGGGCGGGAGCTGCCGGAGCATTACGTGGACAGGTGCAAGGAGAGGCAGGAGGGAAGAAGGAGAAAGGGCGTTACCTGAGGGTTAGACCTGCCCAGACACACATGAAAGAAAAAACCCGAAGATCTGACAGCTTTACTCCCTGTTTCTAAAACGCTAATAAAATGTACATGCATTACGCTTCCCTTTTATCGCTTCAACTACAAGGAGGGGAATTTCTAAAGAAATTGGCATCGTCAGGGAGGTGCTTTCCCCTCTGCAAATTCTCCCTCGCATTTATCATTAATGTGACACTAAACTGATCTATCGTATTTGGGTATTGACAGGAGGTGTTAAAAACATAAATGGGCAGCCCCATAGTTTGGGATAAATATTTTCAAATCTTTTGCAGAGAAGAAGAAAGAAAGATTGTGGCTCATCTAATCCATCTTCTTTGGGGTTTTTTATTGAGCCCGTAGCAAAGGTCTGTGAGCATCATAAATTAGCAATATTATGTACTGAAAGATCCCTGTTGTAGTTCTACAATATTTTGAATCAGTTTGGGACTTTGTTGTCCTGTTCCAGAGGAGCATATGCAATTTTTCATCCCCAGAGTAGAATGGTTCACACAGGAAAATATATTTTGGTGGGAAACATATTCACCAATGGTAAAACAACACTGAATTAAATCTAAGAGTTTGACTTTTGCCATCTTTCCTGACTTTTCTGTAAAGTCCAATGAATTTTAGAGCTTAAATGACATGACCTATCTCAACATCTAAGATATGCAGTTCTTTGCCAATGTTAAAACATGGTATTAGAGTATAAAATGTAAAGATCTTTCATAGGTAATTCTTTCAAAAGTTCAAGAGAATCACTTGGTGGTTTAAGGTTTCATTTAAACAAAAAAGTTGCAGAGAATCATGAGAGATTAGTTCTCCCGTCTTGCTTCATGGTCTTTTCAGTCACAGTCTAAATCTGAGAGATCAAATGGATTTGACTGCTTACCTTTATTTGCTATGGAGAGTATAGGGCTAATTAATTGGCAGGTGCTTTAAAGCAGGTAATGTGACACCTTTTCATCATTGCAGTCCTAAGTACTGCCCCTGTGTGCACCTGAATTATAAAAAGGCTGCTTTAAAGCAAGTGATTTACTGTGGAGGGATTTAAAACTGAAAAAATTAATGTTAAATACAATGATCAGATAAATCACCTCAGAGGAGAGCACAGGCAGACCTGTTCTGAAGGCAGTTACAGAAAGATGTTATATTATTTTACCTTTCAGATAACAGGAGCCTGTCATGTGGTGGGACCCAAAAATCCACCATAATCGAGATTTCAAAGCACATCTGTGTAAACATTATCACATCAGTGTAAAACATCAACCAATGAGCTTTCTCTTTGAAGCAAATCTACTTAATTGTAGTGCTAAATCAAAGAAATAGATCAAAGTTGAATAATCTATATGGCACCTATTTCTCAAATAGCCTGTTCACTGATTACTCAAATACACCAAAAACGTTTGAAACAAACATCAAGTATTTTTATTGACATGACTGACAGGTCAAGATCAAACTGCTCATCACAGCTGTTGAGTTGCAGGACATGCAGCAGGATGGTACAGTTAAATAGAGGAGGTATCTTGTTCCAAGCCCAAAGATGCTCCCATACAGATGTTGTTTGTGGGTCCAAGCAGTACCCTTGACCCCTACAAACAGCAGAGGGGTCTACAGTTCAGATAACATTCACTGTCTCCAGTGGAGAAGGGTTGGGGTTATTTCGAACAAAAAAAAGTCTTCAGCAATCACACACTGAAAGACCCTTATGGCTAAATCTTTCCTGTTATATAATGGAAACATTTAAAGTAGAGCGGAATACATAACACTGATCTTTTCTGAGTGGAGTCTTTAATGTCTGGGAACTAAACCGGTTATGCTGTTTTATAAAGTACCAGAAAAGAAACAAAAAGATAAGATTTTGTGTGTGTGTGTTTGCACTAGCCATGTGACAGGAAAAGATAACGCTAAAGATTTTTTTTTTTGCACCTTCTGAAACTATACCATGGGAAGTTAAATAATTTTGAAGAGTTTTTTTACAAGAGTACATAATTCAACTTAAAGTATACAGTACAATCTAATCAACTCTATGAATACTTCCTAGAGACGGCACTCTCAGTGTCATTGAACAAATATATATGTGGTCAAGATTTTATTTCCATAGCAAGTAGTTAGGACTTCTAGAGACAATACAATTACTATATATTGCCTAAGAATAGCATGTTGTCATAAGCAAAACGTAGTGGCTACAAAAGAAGTGGAGAATTAATGACTGAAATTTTTCATAGATAGTCTATACATATATGGAGAGACAGATTGATCTGCATATCTAAAAAACTCCTGTAAGCTATTAAACTTTAGGTCCTGCAATTTATTGCACCATTGTTAATTTTAGAACTCCCTCATAACAGTTCTGTGCCAGCCATAAATTTTTAATGATATAATAAAATATTGGAAAGGGATTCATGAATACATAAGAAAGCAAACATTTGGTGGAACAAAAACCATGGAGTAGCACCAAGGGGATAGGTCCAGCTGGAGATACCTGTGTATCATGGCCAGTCTCAGATTCTTCCCAGATTTGGACACAAAAATATGGTTCTCTGCTTTCAGGAAGGTGACCAGAACATGCACAAGTTACAATGAGTGGGAAAAAGGTGTATTTTTGTGCAGAATTCACTGTGAAGAACAAAACCTTTCCAACGCTCCATGTACAAATTAGGGCATCGTCTGATGACCTTTAAAATGCAATACATGCAGATTTTTAAAACATGGAAAGCTTTCTCTTCTGAAGAGATACAGTAGCAGGTATGTATACATATATGTATGTTTCTATTTAACTATTTAAGAAACACAGATGAGGAAAAAGCAACAAGGATTTTTTTTTCCTGTGGGAAGGAAGTTCTTCCATCTTCATGCTTTGTTTTATTTCTTTAATTGAAGAAAAAAATTCATAGAGCTTTTTAAGATTCATGATCTCACTGTCCATGGTTTTCTTGACACACATGAATAACCCCTATACATGCAGAATGGAACAGAGAAACTATTGCAGTGAGCACATATTTTCATGGCTACATCCAGTGAGAATACACTGTTTCCATATATCAATATTCAAATGCTTCATTTGACATCTTTTTTATTAATCCTGTAAGTGAATAATTGGATTAAAACAACATTAATTTATTTAAATGACATGCTTTCTGAATCTCTGCATACAAGATGTTCAGACAGTGTATGTTTTTAGACTTGCTGCTCAAATAAATTTTCCTCTTGTTCCTAAGCAAACACTTCACCAGGGGAGTTCTGCCTAAAATTACCTGGGTGTAAGTAGTTGCAGATGTGAATTGAATTTTTGAAGTGAAAGAAATTTTAGTCTAAAGGTGTTATTGAAAAGTCAGTAAAATGTGGCTAATTAATTTCAGGGAAACAGTGTGAACAGGGAGATAACTCATGGTTCATGACTACAGTTTAGGTGACTGATGAGCTCTTGACAGGTTTACTTTGGGACACCACACTGACCAAAAGTGGTTTCTTTTCCAGTCAAACCAAAAAGGTAGACTATTTGAAAAAGCTAATTGTATTGCTGAACGAGGTCTCCTAATGAGGCAGCTAGAACTGATAAGATCCAAGAGCCACATTCTACAAAATTTTCCAGACTGGGTGCTTAGTCATGTACTTGCAAGAAAAGTACTTGTGTTCCAGTCATGCTAAGCATCAGAAATTATTATTGCCTTGACTCATAAATGCTGGTCTCCATATTGGCCTTTAGTCATTGAGTACAGAGATGTAACTCAGACTTGCAGACAAGGATTTTGCTTGGGAGTCATACATATAAAGTATAAAATAAAGCAGTAGATTATTTTTAAAAAAACTCCAAAAATAGTTTTTGACAGTTGGGAATAATGAGGTCAAGGGAATTACTTGATTAATGAATTGGCTTGCAGTATTCCAAAATTTTGAAAGAAATGCAGTAAATCCATCATTCAGCCCAGATGCTTGCTTTTCCAGCTATAGCTGTGAGGTAACTCAACCCTGGCCATGTTTACAGTTGCATGATCTGACTGACTGTCAGTTGACAAAGATGCCCACACTTACTCCTTGACACATATCATAACCACTGAATGTGACTGAAAATGCATGAGCATGTCTTAAAGGGTA